AGAGAAGGAAATGTGCTCACAACATGCAGCTTCTCACACCCTTCTGCTTCCACAGCAGGACTGCAAAGAAACCCCCGGATCACCCTGAGCCATGAAATATAGTTCAGTCTCATAATGTAATGGGAAGTAGGGGAGGAGGGTCTCCAAAGATCAGTAACAAATTTATGGCGCTTTACCCTCTACAGCAGTAGAGTTGTAGATAGTGAATTCCAGCTGCAAACTGCATTAAGCTTAGACTTTTTAAGAAAGAAGATGGGAATAGTTAGCATCAAGTGATGACTCCTAGTCTCTGTGGATCCTCATTTCCAAATGAAAGCCTAAACTGTATTTTTCAAGCAGGTGGTAATGTTCTCTCCCTGCACTTTGGGTGACTCAAAGTCCCATGAATGCAAACACCAAAACATTAGCAAGCACTGCTAAGCAGCTGTGGACAGTCAGAATGCTAGCTTAGCATCACACTGGGCTCATGTGGTTCCATTCGCTTGGACAGCTTCTGTTATGTTTGTCAGCACAATCAACTTATCTTTAGTTTCTCCACTTCATCTCAGTATTAGCCTACAGTGCTAGCCCTGGCAAAGCAAGCATATTCTCTTACCTTTCTTGGCCTTCACTTTGGACTGTTTGGCTGTCATCTCTTGGAAAGGAAAGTGGGAGAGGGTGGAAGGTGAAATTTAAGACTAACAGCAAGTTGTTTGCAAGAGACCCCCCGACCTGTAATACTCACTTCCTATGACATAAGCACTATAACCCTTCACAACATGAAGAACAAAGTTGGTTTTTTTCCCCTGCCCTTTCAGAATGTCATTGGCAATGGCGCTGCAGTAGCAGCATGTATTGAACACACCAGTAGAAATCATCAGTATTGCCTTCATTAACTCTTTCCATTGCCAATACCACATGACATACCCATGCAACAGAAGAGATGCCAAGAAGCAGATCTGCTGTAATCTGTAAGAATTCTTTTCCACTGAGATAATGTGTTCCTAAATGTCTCTTAACCTAATGTACCATGTCATAAACCTAATGTTAGCAAAGAAGAAGGTACATAAGCTGTTATAAGAAAATTCAAGGTGCATGCACTAAGTTACCACCAATGACCTCCACGCCAGACTATTAGATGTAAAGAGCATGTAAACTGATCTGTTAACATGCTCCTAACAGATGGTTCAGAGATACTTTGCTGGGAGAACCAATGTAGATTTCTCAAAAGATGGAGGTTAATACATTCCGCTTTTTACCGCATGAGCCTTAAACAGGACTTTAAAGTTAAACCACTGTGTCACTTAAAGACAGATGGTGAAGGGAAATAAAGCTTATTTCAAGAGGCACCTTACAGTATTAATGCTAACGTTCCAATAACTCCATTAGATTTTGCATTTTTGTATTACATGCTTATACTTTAAACCATTTTTTCTCTTAAGAACTCACACTGAAGCTGTGTGTCTACCAAGTATAGGAAATACCATGCAAATATTCAACCATCCCACAAGTCTTGTGAGAAGAGTACTTTGTTCATAGGATTTCCTATGTATTTGCAATAAGCTTTTATTAGAAGACCACATACCTCAAACTAGGAACAGAGGAAGTACCATTTAGCCTTGCCAGAATACATGCATACATGTGTATACATATATACTTCTTCCACCAGCTTCCTTATACAGCTACCAAAAGCACACTGACCCATTTTCTCAGAAATGCTTACCAGCTCATCTCTGGTTTTGATGCAACAAAACTTTGTCAGTTTTGTCCTAACTGTTGCTGCCCTACAACAATAACACACCGCTTTGACCTTGTAACAGTATACCCCATCACAAGATCTCCTAAATTAGAAGAGGTTCTCCAAGCTTACATGTGCTTAATGGATGCCCTTTGAAGTATCACAGTTACAACAGGTTATTCTGTTTTTTCAACTAAAACGACTCCCACACAGTAAACAGAGGCCGAGAAGATGAGGAAGTGAAGGCAGTGCTTTGTACTGCACCCAGGAGGACCTCTACTGGTTGCCTTGGTTGGCTAAGAGTTACTCCAAAATGGACCTAATGGATTCTCACACCAGAGCTACCACAGCAAAAACCGACACTACTGCGATGCTTCCCAGCAACACAGGATCTTAGCACAGAGCTGAGATCGAACCTTTAGACTCTTCTGCTTAAAAGATATGGTTTTGGTTTTTTCTCTCTACTGAAGTCAAGACAGAAGTTTATTTGATTTAAATTGATATCAAGATCTAAATTCTTAAGACAGATGGTTAGTAGCTGCCACCCTACCCCAGCCTGGTAGTTCTTCAAGTTACATGAACCTCTGTCCCCAACAAGAGAATATCAGCCTACCCTAGTTTTCATCTGTATCATGAAGTTATAGAAAAGAAAACTACATTTCAATGATCTATGAGAAGTATCATGAACTTTTCTGGACCACCTGCAAGGTCCAGAAGATCCCTGCTACAGAGCTATTCTTGAGTTTTGGCCTGGGGAGAAATTCGGCAACAAGCAGCCTGCAGATGAGCTCACTGTACCTTAACCCTGCCAGCCCCGTAAGTGGAGAGTTCCAGAGCAAAGGTGATTCCATAGAGAAATAAGCAGCCACTCTTTAGTCAAGAGCTGCTTGGGGTTGGTTTGGTTTTTTTTTCCCCAAAAAGAAACATTCATACCTGTTGGATCCCACCAGATTTCAGAGTAAGCCAAGACAACCAGTGTTCATGAACATTACTGGCTCACCACCTAGGTATGGCAAAATCTCCTCAGCATCTGCTGTGTTCTTGGCTACTTTTACCTATTACTGATTTGCAGCATAACACAAGTTCTGTGCTCTTCTGACCCCTGACGAATGCCAGCTGCTTCTGGGCAGTGGGTATTCCCCAAGGGATAGTGTCATTCATGAGCACCACCACAGAAGTGCAGGCAGGAAAATCTGGCATCTCATACAGCACAGGTTGCTCTCATTCTTTGGACAAATACCCCTTTGCTAGAAAGGCCCAAGAACTGTCCTTTTCATACCCCCCTCTCTGCTAGTTACAGCCCTCTGGCAAAGTCCTGGGGTAACAGGAATAAAAAAAAGTAAACAATTCTTTACATATGCCAAGTATCTGCTCCACAGCTATATAAACCAGGGGCGTCCCTAAAGCAAGCTTACCAACTGCCAGTTCAGGCTGTAGCCACATGCACTATGACAGAACTGCAGTCACAAATACTTATTCACCTACAAACATACTGACCAGGCTTGAGCCCCCCACAGTGGATGTGCTCTGGAGGCCAGAATCCACAGCTCACCAGCATAACAATGTTGATTCCCAGCTGGTTAAAAATCACAGCTGGGGTCAAACTATGCTTAATTACGCAGTGTAGCAAGAAACTGACACCTCGGTAAACATCTCCCTCTTGCAGTCAGAAATAACTGCAACTGGCAACTGCTTCTCTCCTCTCCCCACCTGAAGCACACCAGGAGCACAGCCCACACGCACACCTGTTTCAGTGCATGTAAAGCAAACACTGTCATACAGATGGAGATGAAAGTGATTCTTCTAGTGAGCAACTGCTCCCTAAGGCACGCTAAGGTAGTGCTCAACAGGAAGGCCTGAGGTTGCTCTGCGGTGTGACTGAGCAGCCAGCCTGGCAAGGGTTGGTCAGGTCACTCCAGACACAGCATGCTCCCCCTCCCTAGGAAGGGGGCATAGCCAAAACCCCATTCTACCACCTTCTCGACAGCAAGCAAACAGATGAACACTCCTCCTACCTGAACTCAGGGAGGAGGTTCGGCCGAAGCCCATAGAAAGCCGCTGAGAGAGTCACCAGCCAGCCGGGTCTGTAATTCCCATTCTCACACTCCAGGTAAGGCGAGGACCACCTGATGTGGTTCTTATCGGCAGTGAAGCTCTCCCATCTCTTCCAGCTGTTCTCTAAAGTTCTGGGCCCCGTGTTCAAGACCTTCCTATGCAGATGTGGCCTCCACTTGCGCTTCAAGCTGTGGAACCACTCTGTTTCCACAGAGGCGTTGGCCAGGCGGTGAGCCGAGGAGGATAAGTCCTGCAAGAGGACTTGGCTCTCGTGCCTGCTGGCCTGGAGGAAAACCTGGGGTGTGGAGGAGAAAGGCTCCGTGCTGAAAGTGATAGCTGCCCTGGAGATATTGGGGTCCCCCTCCAGGAGGCTCCTGATCAAGGCGCGGTACCACTCCAGGTCCTCCTGCAAGTTCTGCTCCCGCGACTTATTGCTCTGGAGGATCATGTTGAGAAAGTTGGTGGCGTGGGTGAGGGTGTCCAGGGCCCCGTGCAGGGATGGGTGCGAGGTGAAGCGCGACTTGCCGGCCAGGCTGGCCAGCTCGTACCGCCCGGAGCAGTTGGCACGCCGCAGCTCCCGGGAGTCACCCGTGAAGAGGAACGAGGCCACGTCCTGGGGTACCTCCTCAGCGAGCCGCTGCGCCAAGATGGTGCTCGCCATAGAGCGGCTCCGCGGGGCCGGCGGAGGCTCCCGGCTCTTGATGTGGTTGTAAATAGGCTGTCTCCCTCTAAGTGCCCGATCCTGGCTGCGCACCGCCTGCCCTTCGCCGGTGGCGGCCCCGAGCCCCCGCTGGGCGAGGAGCAAGAAGAGAAGGAGCCGAAGCAAAGCCATGTCCCCCAGCGCTCCCGCAGGCGCGGCCAAGTGGCTGAAGACGGGCTTCGCGCAGGCGGCCGCGGCGCAGGGGCACGAACGCGCAAGGGCAGCCGAGCGGCAGCGGGCGGAGATCGGCCCCGGGCCCGCGAGTCACCTGTGGCAGCGCCGCCCGCGCCTTCCCCAGCGCGGGTCGCCGCGTAGCCCCGCCGCCGGCGCGGAGCGGCTCGCAGCCCCTCCGGCGACGGCAGCGGCCGCAGCGAGCCCGTCTGCGCCTCCTCCCGCCGCGGCCACCGCGCTCACTGAGCTGCTGCCCAGCGCAGCGCGCAGGGGCGGCGGCGCCCGCGCCCGGCGAAGCGCAGGATCCCCCCGCGGCGCCCCGCCGCCGCCCGCGCTCCACCACTCCGCATCCTTCAAGCGCTGCTGCCGGAGAAGGGTGACCGGGACTGCCACTTGCTGCGGGATCAGCGGGCGGGGCTGCTGCCAGGGAGCCAGCGGGCGAAAGCCCGCCTCCGCCAGCACCAGGCTCCCCGAGCGAGCACTCCCACCTAGGTGAGACTGCTCACCGTGCAGCTCCGCCGCGGGCAGCCAGGCACCCCTTCCCCGCCAGCCCTTATAGGTGTACGCCGGGCAGCTGCCGCCCTGTGTGGCCGTCTCAGCTGTCAGTCAGCCGGCAGCCATTCACGGGGCAGGAGGATGGCGCTGTGCGGCGCTGAGGGGGGCGGTACCGCCGCCTCGGAGAGACGTCGAGGCACCTCTCTTCACCTGCCGCCGGCTCAGCGCCGGGCACGACGGGGTGGGGGTAGCTTCCCGCCGCAGCGGCAGCCATAGCCGCTCCGCTTTCCCCCCTCCCGAACCCCGCATACGCGGAGCTGGCCCGGCGCGGGTTCCACAGCGCCGGCTCTGCCGCGGCCGGGGCTGTGCGAGGGGCTTGCCCGGGGAGTGTGGCAGCGACACCTGCTGGCCGGGCCAGGAGCGCGCTGCTGCGCCTCCACTCCACGCCGCGGGCGGGCGGGAGGGAAGGGGCGTACGGTGGCCCCTGGGGCTGTAAGAATTCCCCCGCCGCGGGGCACAGGAGGAGCCCGGAGCTTCGGGGTAGGGCGACTGCAGCCAGAGCCTCGCTGTGTAGGGTGGTGTTTGCCCTCCGCTGTGAGGGAGGTGCGCTCGCTTCAGACAGTACTGAGGTGGGTGGGAGGATTGGTATAAGACTGAGCCTCGGTTTCCCTCGGGAGGTGTGGGTCAGCCGGGGTGCACCGGGAGGGAGGAAGAAGGCGTTTGGCAGAGGGTGCGGCGCTTGGGGGGGAATGGGGAACTTTGTCTTTTCCAGGACCATGACCCAGATGCCCCCATCGTGTGCAGGTGCTGCCACAATCCCCAGGCTTCTTGCATGGGCTGTCCCATGTCACCTCACACATAACCCATAACGGCCCATACACAGGGTACATCCCACCATAATGGGAACTGAGCTACGTCCCTCTCCCTTCAATTACAGTGGCTGACTGGTTGTATTTCTGTAACCATAACCTTTCCTCTTTTAACTCCAAGATGCTAATTCCTACTGCTGTCTTCAAAACTAAGAAAGCCCTTAATCCAGTGGCTTTCAATGCTGACCTGCAGAGCACCTGCGTGGAGTCAAAACAGCACTGGCTGATCACCTAGGTTTGCCACTTGCTCTGCTGAAACCACCCTTGGAAAAGCACAGATGCATTCAAGAGGTAGTTGGGATTTTCCAGATAAGCCATGAGTCATAGGGCCATCATGATCAGTAATATGGATCTAGTTTGCAGAGCATCTAAACAGATGTTTAACTTTGTGCATCATGGTTGGCAGAAGTATTCACCTGCTTGATATCTTACTGTTGATGAGGGGTTTGTGGCAAGAGGTAGGTAGCCAAGGGTGAATTTTTAGAGAAGGAGGCCCGCAGCAAAATCTAATTACAATTAATTCAATTCTGGCTTAATATAAAACTCAATTTTGAAATTCAAAAGTGCAGATGAAAAGAGTTGTAAAAAGAGGATCCTCTTTTTTTCTTTCTCCCACACACACATGTGCATGCGCATCCTATAAGGAGCAGATTTCAGTCATGCAAAATATATGATCTAATTTTAAACCACTGACAAGATGTGCTCCTTAAAGCATACTCTTATTTTAGAATTATTTGAAGCTGTACTTAAAGGAATGGTCATTCTAATACAGCTAACTATAAATCACATTTGCAATCCATAAATCCTAGTGATGTAAATGCACTTTATCTTTACATAGGGTGACCTTTAATAACTATAGTATCACATGTGGATAAGAGAGAAAGTTATAAATGCAGCTTTTTTTTTTTTCTTGTTACATGCAGATGATGAGGATATTCACTGCTTAAGAATAACTTACTTGTTCTGAACTTTCCCTCAAGTGACTAGCCTGTGAGATTAGAAAGCACATATACTTAGCAACTCAGAAGCTGATATTTATGGTTTAGCACAGCACAGGGAGTCTGTGTTTCCAAGTCTGCACTGAACAAATACCTAAAGATGCATTATTTGCTTGGATAAGTGAGAACCAGGGCTTTTGACAGGAGCAGCTGTCAGGACTGAGCTAAACTAACATGGGATCAGTTACATGGGGAGATATCAATGGAAACATAAACAAACAAGCATTTTTTTAAGGTGTGCCTGTGCTGATTCTCTTTCCTGACTGTCACAGGCTGCTCTAAAGGAAAGGTCAGTTCCCTGATGGTAATTCGCTTCCCCTAATGTAGCCTGACTATTAATATCCATCTGAACTGCACTCAGACTGCTAAATGGCCACATTCACAAGAGGACAATAAAAAATCCTTTAATGTACCTGCATAGTAAGCTCCTTCTGTTTCTTGACCTCAGAAAATCGTATCATAGAATGGTTTGGGTTGGAAGGGATCTTAAAGACCATCTAGTTCCAAACCCCCTGTCATGGGTAAGGACACCTTCCACTACACCAAGGTTGCTCAAGGCCCTCCCCAGCCTGGCCTTGAGCACTGCCAGGGATGGGGCAGCCACAGCTTCTCTGAGCAATCTGTCTGATGAGGTAAAAGGCTCTTTTTTCTATTACTTGTTTCCTCTGTGCTTGTGCTCTCTGTGCTACTAAGTCAGAGAGGAGGAGAGGTTAACTAGAGGACTTTCTTATTAAGGATGCCAGGTTTATTGTTCAGTCTCATACAGCTGCATCGCAGAGGGTTCAGTGAGCCTTTCTTTATCCTCTCAGGCTCCCTCCTGCAGTCAGTTCAGATCTGCTCTCAATCAGCTGTCGTGTACAGCCAGGATCAAAGTAAGGTACAAACAGATTTTAAGACATTGCAGATGTGCATCTCCTTATGGCTTTGTAAAAACCGTGCTGTGGGACACAAAGCCCACTGTTCAGTGCCCAGATCCAGGGCACTGGCGATATGGAAAGATAGTACCCTCTTACATTAAGGAAATCTACCAGGCATTTTATTTACAGGATTTTACTCAGGATTGGAAGAAATGTAGGAACCTTTGCTCATTGTATTTTTATGTTAATACTGAAATGCAGTGATGATCCTGGTGTGTCATTTATAGTCAGTTGACCATGTCAGGAACCTGTTCAGCTGTGACCAGTAAAATGTGAAAATGGACTGGGAGTCCCTGAGACACACAATTACTGTGACTGAATAATGTTTTCTTTGTTTCTGCCTCAGTTCTGCCAGAGCTGCTGCTTCAAGCCATCCACCAGCAAGGAATCGAGGCATCTGGCCACTGTCCTGCATACTTCTGAGTTTTTACAACTATCACAATTGCTGAATGGAAAGTACCTGTGTGTGAAGGGTCTTGGTTCATTGTATTACCTATCAGGCTAGAAGTCTGCGTTTAGATGTGGCCTGAGCTAAATCTGGGGTCTAATTACAGTGTAGAAAAAAATAGCAGTGCAAAATGTTACAAATTTTTAACAGCTAGAGTAAGTGTAACCTACTTTCTCCAAATACTGTCTATACAAGAAGATCTTGGTTTATCTGAACTATTTGCAGAGCTGGAAGCATCAGGATTACTGCACTCTTAAAATCAAGTGGAATGAAGAAAAGACTGTTGTAGCTGTGAAATGTATTCATTAAATATTTATTATTATTTGTCCTAAACTATTTATTAATATTTGTCCTAAACCAATTGGGTGATACAAAGACTATACTCACTAAGAGTAAGCGCTAAAATTCTGAGAATGATGTATTTTATTTCTCTCACAAAACAGAAACAGAATATTTATCAAAATCATTGCTAATGGTATTTAAAAAGAGATGAAAAAGAAAGTGATTTTAAAATAAAAGTACTCTTACTTTTAGCTTGATTACCTAAAGAAATAATGTTCTTGCAATCATATTTTTGTCTGTCTGAGGAGTCCCTTCTGTCTGCCAATAGCTTCTGATCTCATTAGTTAATTTCAGCTAAGTCTGACAGCATTACGAAGGCCTCAAAGTCTCTATAAGCTTCTACAAATCTTGTGAAACTTACATGTGGATCAAAGAAAGCAACCCATGTTAGTATTTGTGCTGCAGAGTGACTTCAACAGTTACACGGTCTCTTTGGTCTTTCTTCTGGCTGCTCATATTGGCCAATAGCATAAATATACCCCAAAACAGCTGGAACACATGGACAGCCTCCCCACTGAATAGACAGTGAACAGCCAACAGGGCTGGTGGGGAAGAACTCAAAAAGACAAGGAGGAGCTGGAGGTACTGTTGATGGTGGGCACAGTGCCATGAGGCTTTAATATATGATGCAAAGAATGCATGGGGACTGGGAGATAGGCTGGATTTATTGCAGGAGATGACAGAAATAGTGAGCATGAATCTGTTGTAAACCAGGCTTCGTTAGTTCTCTTTTTTTCCTCTCACAAATGAGGTAGAACCACCACCTAAACATTAAAAAAAAAAAAATAAAAAAATAAATAGGAAATAACCAAAATGCAGAGTTCTTACTTAGAAGCTGATGGAAGAAGATGGAAGAGCTTACATGTAAATTAACATTCACTTGTAGTGAGAAATTGAAACCCACTGGATATTTTCTTGGAAACAGTGGGACAGAAAGAACCTACAGAAGTTACCCTGTCAGCACTCTTTATTTTCTTTGTTTCTTTGCTTGCTTCTCAGAGTACAATCACTGTCAGCCAGTATCTGTCTGCAAAAGACCACTTTGACTTACTCCTTTTTAATTTTTTCTAGGCTAAATTAAATGGATCTGTATGCTTTCTAAAACTGTTGTGGGCCCTTGGGTTCTCTTCTGGACTGTCCATTTTGTTAGCCTGTTTCTCTTCCTGTCCCGGGCAAGGATATAGCGAGCCTGCTATGAATATTCTGCAGGCTATGTAAAATTCTCTGTTAATACACCCCACATTGAAGCTTGTCTGCTTTTTCACCTTCCCCACTGTACTGACAACTACTCAAGTCTGTAACTCTATGTAATCTTCATAACCTTTCAAAACATATTGCTTCCTAGTTAACCATTTTCTTTTTTTTTATTTGAGGATTTGAGCTCTGCTGCTGGGTAGGAAATTGCACCTGCATTTGCTGAATTTTACCTTACTGATTTTAGGCCATCTCTCTGATTTTTCAAGATTATCTTTAATTCCTGTTCTGTTCTTCAAAACACTTGTAACAATCTCTTTGTTTCTTATAGTCATTTGCTTATTTTATGACCTCTTATTTCCTTATCAAATTTGTTCATTGTAGCTGAGATCAGAACCCTTCAGGAACCTGCCTGAAATGTCCTCCTGGTTTGACAGTGTACAACTGATACTTACTTTTTGCGAATGACTTCAGAGGTAATTGCTTACCCGCTCATGAGCTGCCTACACAGTATTTCCATAGCTTCCTGGTGAGAACCTCATGCTAAGTATGTAATGAATGTTGCTGATGTAGACATATAGCACGTCCATTGTTCCATCACTATCCATGAGGTCAGTTATGAGTCAAATAAGAAAATTCAGTCTGTTTCGTATGGAGTTTTCTTGACAATCCCAAGTTGGCTGATTTTCATCAATTTATTATTTTCTACTTGATTGCTACAATGTAGTTTAATAGTTCTTTTCTGAATCTTCTGGTGATACTTATTTCATGGGCTTCTTTATAATCTCTCTGATCTCTTTTTCTGAAAATGAGTATGATTTTTTCCAACTTTAGAATCTTCCTCCCAAACACTTGGAATGGCAAGTGGTAGTTTATGTTTGGAAGATCACGTCTTATCTCCAACAGAAAATGTTATTCTAGATTAGGAGAAAATTGTCTGTTAGACAACATATTGATGGCTCTGACTCCTAATTGTTTATGGAGAACTTGCATCTGATATGCAGATGTATCTAATATGCAGATGCAGGCTCTGCATTTTAAATAAACACTATTCAAAAGCTTTATAAGCTTATCCACAGTTGGGAAAAGATAAGGGGATGCTGAAGTTAAGGTTGCAAACACAGTTCAGTCTGCTTGTACTTTACAGACATGATTTGAACATTGGGAAGCATTGCACACACAGACTGAGAGCTGTTAATGCCTTGAGACTGTGGCAAGGACACACAGCATAATGCACTTAACGTCAGGGAGAGCTAAACTACAACTAAGAGCATATACCAAAAGAAGTCAGACCCCTAAGACAGTTTCCATTAATTTCTTTATTTTAAATGAAAACAAAGGTAAACCATAAATGTCTGTGGCTATAAAGGCAGAGGGCAACAAATGGAATAAATAACTAGCCTAGTACCTGGGCTGCCTTCACAGAGTGAATCCAGCTTCCCCATAATTTCCACTATAAATGGTGTGCCAAATAAGAACATTAAGTGGGCAACACCCCTAATAATGGTAGAATAAGACTCAGTGCTGTATCCAAAAGGAGATAGTAGTGTTTCAAGCCCTACATTACAAAGCCTAAAAGGTAGCCTAAATCCTCAGACCCTGCAGCAGAATGAATAGCTGAGCTCAGCCTCTCAGCCATCCCTAGGAGAGCGGTAACAAGCATGGAGGAGGAGGATTGTTCACTCCCCTGTTAATATGTTCTGGCTGCAGCAAGAGCAGCATTTGACTGCAGCCTGTCACTCACATGGTAAAAATACTTCTTGTGCTTAGCCACTGAAGTAATGTATTTGGGTACAGATTAATAGATGTCTACTAAATCTCAGCCAGAGGTTGTGGTATTGCTCACCTTCAGATTAATAGCCAGTGCCTAGAATATTTCAGTGGCAAGTAAGAGATGGAGGATCTTCCTAGCAAGAGCTTCAAAACCACAGCTTTGAGAAGACAGCCCAACAGCAGACTGCCACCTTGTCAGGGCCAGAATGGAGTGAGCAAGAAATTAATAAAAGATAAATGCACAAAGACAAGATAAAGGAGGAATCATCTGAAGAGTGCAGTTTAAAAAAAATTATAAGCATCAAGAAAATTAAATCTCAACTAGCACATGCTATACTGAGTAGCTAAGTTTCCTATGAGTACCTTGCCTTCAGTAATGAACCCGTTGATTACAATGAGCATCCTAATCAATACTGTGCTTTTGAACAGCTTAATATAATTCCTTCAGAATTATCAGGGAATTGCTGGATAAGAGCACAGACAAGGTGGATTTCTTTGTTCTTTTATGACAAGAATGACATTCACAGTATTTCCAACAATATCTCAACAAAACTTTTATCAAGCAATAAATCATGAATGCACACTATACTGCTGAAGTCTTATCATCCTATCCTAATCCAGTCTGTACAGCAGTAAAATGCTGTCTGTTGTCTTCTACCCTGGTTTCTCTCTGCTTGGAATTTAGGGGATTGTCAACTTTTTTGAACTTTCAAGAGTGTGACCAAAATATGACCACATGGTGACTACTTTGGATTTAACTGTATGTCTGGACCCTTGGATCCAGATTCTTCCTCCCAGTTATTCTACCAATGCCTTTTCTTTTCCCCAAATACATTCCAAAACTAAAATCATCTTGCCTTTGCTTCCAGTTACATAAAATAGAATAAATTGTCATCTGATGTAGATTAGCATATCTTTCCTGAAGCCAATGAAATTACATGAGTTTATATAGATAAGTATTTGCCCACTCGCCTTATATACAGAAGACAAAATCCAGAATTCCTATTAAAATGTTTCAAAAACCTACATCCTGTTACATTTTGTTCTAAGAATCTGCAGATGTCAGCTAATGAAAATAAACTTCAAAGGGCAGAATTGTTTGAATTAATTGGAAGCTAAGTCACAATCTCAAAATAAGTTCTGTTTGCAGATGGTTGCTTTATACTGTGTGGTTGAGTGAGTATTGGTCTTTTAACAACTCTGCTGTTTGATGCAGATCTGTCCACTTGAAATGAGAATAGCAGAAGCTACTGACTGTGGACCTTGAGGTCTGAGGCAGCCCTTCCTCATGCTTCCATGCTGATGAAGTATTCAAACGAAGCACTCAGTTAAGATGATGCTTTTTATTTTTCTTCTTGGAAAAAAACAAGATTCCTTCAAGAAAACCAGATTACCCTTCTTCTGCTCCTGTCCTTCTGCCCCATGCCACATTCACAGTGAAGCCAAAGGCAAGATGTGGTATCTCCTGTGACTCCTATCAACATTGAATGAGAAGGGAATACTAATGATATCAGAGAGCGAAGGAGAAAGAGGAGCCAGGGAAATTTCAGTTTCTGACTCTTTTTTAATAACTTGTAAGAAGAGAGGCTCTGCTTGACTATATGTCAGCCAGATTACACTCTGAAGGAGAAAGGTGATGTGCTGGTGGCAGCACAGTGAGGAGCGAGGCAAATAAAAATACAGCCTCTTGTCATATGTACAGGCTCCAAAACATCCATCATTTTATTTATGAAAACAGTTTTAATGGACAACAGGGCACATGGCTGGAGAACCATAGGGCAAAGTCTTCAGCAGTCATATAAAATCTACAAAGCAAGGACAGCAGACAAGCAAGATTACACAGCCATTTCCCACTGCAGCACTGGGGTGGGAGCTCTGTAGGGTTGATCTAGACTCAGGAATCCTCTGGCACTGCAGAAGGAGGCCTGACATGAAGAAATAAGGCAGACAATGGATAGGAGTGAACTGGCAAATACACTTTCAGGTCTCCACTAAGATTGTCATCACTAGTGTCCTTTATTTGTGACTGTGACATTCATATATCCTCATGTGGGCACTTGGACTTGTAGTGAGTAATGATGCACAGATCTACATCCTTCATACAGATGGTAAAGAGGTCTTTTGGGGCTAACAGCTTTTGGTTTTTGAACTCTGAAAAATACCCTACAGATGAAGATGTTTCTTCAGCCAATCCAGCATTTCCCTAGAATCCTCTTCAAAATGAATGCACAGAAGCAGAAAGAGAATTTCTGCACATTTCTG